TGCTGACAAAGAGAATTTGTTTAACAATCAAGTGCTTCTTTAGTAGGTCATTACATACTTTATTTTTCCTATCATTTTCCTAACCTTAATGGTTAATTCAGGGGTTATATTTTAAGGAGAAATTAGATGTTAGTCACTCAAAAGGGTTAAAAGGTGAAAAGGTTATGTATGTCAGCTCCAATCACAACTTGACTGTTGCATAACATGTCACTGAAAGGTTTAAAGCAGCCATTGCTGATGAGAGGTATTCAGGAGGTGGATCCAGGGAATTCTTGATAGGTTAAGGGTCCAAAATTTGATAAAAAAACACACATTTTTTTACATTCAGCCTAAATAAGATCAGAAGTAAGTTAAGATAAGTACATTTTATATACTTTAATTTGAGTATGATATGTGATTCTGTTGTTGTTAGAAGAATTTTGGTTTCAGGATGGTGGTGAGGGGTGTTATTTCCTTGTGAGCAAAGAGTACCAATAGAAAAAGCACTTCTTCCTAAGTGATCTCAACTTTATTGTTGTCAAAAAAAATTTGCATAAGCAGCTCAACCTCTAGGTTTTTATGAGACCATGCTAAATTTCTGACAAATATGGCCTACATTTTGCTAGTGGTAGATAACAAGTGTTATTATATATTGGACTTGCTATGAGAAATCTAATTGGTGGAGAGCACTCAATCAATATACAATAATGTGTGAAGTGGACATGATCAATAATCTAGTATCTGCAGTGAATATTACAGTTCAAAGTCTTGCTAGTTTCCAAGCCCCTCATCTGTGTAGTGTTCTCAAACTTTTGCAAACTCAGAGAGAACTCGAAATAGCTGAATGTGTTTAAAAGATTGGTTATAAACATTCATTGAATTTGGTATTTGCATGATATCATAAATTATTAAACCTCATGTCTGTGTTATCTGCCTCAGCCTTTGGCTTCTGCAGATGACCCAGACCTCAGCATTGACAATTCATATCACTCTAGTTCAGCCTCACTTTTCTTGTTTTCTTGGTTTTGTACAGTGTCATAATTCTGTTATCATTATATACTAATCATTGGAAGTCACATACAGCTGCCAGTTGAAGAACGGTTATTTTCCGTGTATCGTTAACGAATGAAGTAGTTGATAACATCATATCAAAAAGGCTCCTAAAAGCTTAACTCAACCTTATTGTTATCAGCAATAGGAACATGAAACACGATATTGCAATCTGGAACTTGAGCCAATATCTCGATGCCGATT